TAATTAAATTTCAAATTTACCAATTAAACAAACAACAATTTGTTGCAAAACTTTGTTTATTTACACAGCAACAAGGTGTAAACAAATAAATTTGTTACATTGGATTGTTGGTCAGTAGTATATTTGGTTAGAGGTTGTGTGGCAGCCAGTTAAAACATATCGAAAAATTTACAGTTAACAAGCAAAACTAATATATTTTTATGTTTTCAAAAAACACACTCCCCTCTAATGGAAAATGCAGTTACTAACGGCCAAAACTCTAACTAAATAAAACAGAGTATCTTAAACATGGCTGCACATATTTTAGCATAATTCGTTCAAAATTTATCCGATTTGGTTGCAACAAACGGCAAAATAAGCTTAAACGAATAAGCTTTAAATCATTTAAAGACAATTCTTTATTAGAGTATATATCTCCGAAAAACTATAGAAAGTTTTAAGGAAGAATTATGCAAAAAAAAGTTGAAATATTTTTATAATTTTAAAAATTCATTAAAAATCTTAAACAGCCCATAGTGCAATTTTAAATATAGAACCTGAAAGCTTAAAATGTTCTTAATAAAACCTCATAAAATTTCTTAAAATTGCTTGACAAATGTCAATTTTACAAGCAATTAAGTGAGGTTATAACCTTCTTAAAATATGACTAATGTTAATTTTATTTATTTTTCAAAAAATCATAAAAAATCTAAAATATCCCATAGTGCAGATTTTTAAACAGAATCATAAAGCTTAACATGTTTTATATAAAATAATATATTTTTTTATTAAAATTTTTTACAAAAAGTGGATTTTTAAACAATTTATTAAAGTTACTAACTTTTGTTAGAAAAACTAAATTGAAAATAATTTTAAATTATAAAAATTCCTAAAAAATCTAAAACGGCCCATAGTGCAATTTAATTCATATATTCTGAAAGCTTATAGTGTTCGCTATAAAATTCGATATAATATCTTCAAATATTTAAATAATTGTAGATTTTATTCATAGTTAAGTGTAACTACTGCAGTTTGCAAGAACTACAAAATAGAAAAAATTTTAATATTCAAAAATTCATAAAAAATCTACAAGAACCCATAGTGCAAGTTTTTATCCAAATTAAGAAAGCTTATAGTATTGTAAAAGAAATTAAATATATTTAATTAATATGATAAGCTAAATAAGGATTTTGTACATAATTTAGTGGAAACATTACATTTTTGAGAGAAATAATAATAGAAATATGTTTTATTTTCAAAAATTCACAAAAAAACTAAAACGACCCATAGTGCAACTTTATAAGTATTTTCTGATAGCTTATAGTGTTTTCAATAAAACTGGATATAATCTTTTAAAATGGTTTAATTACTGTAGATTTTATTTATAGTTAAGTGCAATTACTGCAATTTGTAAGAACTACAAAATAGAAAAATGTTTAATTTTCAAAAATTCATAAAAAATTTAAAACGACCCATAGTGCAATTCTTTTTTAGAATTCCTAAAGCTAGACAGGTTTTAAAAAAATAACATAAATTTTATTTATATTCTAAGACAAATATCGGTTTTGTACATAATTTAGTGAAGACATTACATTTTTAAGAGAAATAATAATAAAAACATGTTTTATTTTCAAAAATTCATAAAAAAACTAAAATGATCCATAGTGAAATTTTCTAAGTATTCACGGAAAGCTTATTATGTTTTCAATAAAAGCTAATATATATTTTTATAAATCTTTAAATAACTATAGATTTTATTGATAGTTTAGTGAAAGTACTATATTTTGTAAGAAATACAAAATTGAAAAATTTTTAATTTTCAAAAATTCATAAAAATTTTATAACGACCCATAGTGCAAGTTTTTATCTTGGTTCTGAAAAGCTTAATATGTTCTAAAAAAAACCAAAATATATTTGATTGAAATTTAAAGTTAGAAAGGGTTTTTATACACAATTATGCGAGGACACCACATTACAATAGAAATACAAAACTAACCAACTTTCAATTTTCAAAAATTCCTAAAAAATGGAAAGCAACCCATAGTGCAATTTTTTACACTGACTCTGAAAGCTTAATATGTTCTCAAAAAATAAAATACATTTCATTAACATCCTTAGATAAATGTGTATTTTGTATACAGTTTAGTAAAGATATCACCTTCTAATGGAAAAACGAAATTAAAAAAAATTTTGAATTTAAAAATTCATCAAAAATCTATAACGATCTATAGTGCAATTCTTTGTTAAAGCTCTGAAAGCTTAATTTGTTCCCGAAAAATAAAATACATTTCATTAACATCCCAAAATAAATGTGGATTTTTTACACATTTTAGTAACAATTAGAAATACAAAATTGAAGAAATTTTAATTTTCAAAAATTCACAAAAAATCAAAAATAAGCCATAGTGCAATGCTTAAAGTAGCAACTGGAAGATAAAAGTGTTATAAATCGAAGAAGATATATAATATTAAATTTGTTACCTAAACCTAGATTTTATATACAATTAAGTAACGACATCACATTATAAATAAAATACCTGTTTGAAAATTTTTTTAATTTTTAAAAATTCATAAAAAATTAAAATGACCCATAGTGCAATTTTATTACCAAAATCTAAAAGCTTTAGGTATTGCTAATAAAATAAGCTAATATTTCTTTAAATCATAAAAAAATTATTGATTTTATTTAAACTTAAATGAAGTTAACTCGTACTTGCAGAAACTTTAAAAATCGAAGAAGGACAGTTTTCCAGTTCAAACCTACTCTTTAAGTACCTCTGGTTTTTTGTCTCCTCAAACCCTTTTCCAAAAAACACTATTATTGTATATCGTAATTTGCAATTTGAACATAGAAAATTAAGTATGATTTTTATGTCTGGTCATGACAAGGTTTGCATAATTGCTTTTGTTCCTTTTTCGATGTTATTGCTCTCCCTCTCTGTCTGTGTCTCTGTTAGTTGGTTGGTTTTTATTAAGCCCCTGGGCTTAATATATACTTATATAGACAAACATGTATTCATATATTGTTAAAGTACATTTGTTCAGTACCTTTGAAATAAAATTGTTTATGGTTTGGTTTCAATGGTTTTCTACTGAAAAAAACAATTGAACTATTGTGAAAATTTACTATAGTGTTTTTTTTTTGACTGTTTATAGCTTTTCTTCTAGTTTAAACCAAAGGGCAGTTTGCAGAGTTTGACTGACGAAACGAAAACAATTGGCAAACAGAACAAAAAAATTGCTTGTGTTAAATTTGTAATGTAAAACGAATAAAAAAAACTAAATTTGGAGTAAAATTTTTATGGGTTTTTGATTGCAAATTTTTTTGTTATTTGTTTGTGTTTTCTAACGCTAATAAAAATCAATTGCTAATCTAGTTAAAAGCTATAAAGGGCAGTAAACATAAACAAGAGAACAGTGTCAAAATTAGATAGAAATGGCAACGATGTCATAAAAATTACATTTTAATCAAAAATACTTCCTTATGCTGCACATAGAAGGTTTTTGGTAAAAGCTTTTAAAAGCTTTTTATGATAAAGTGAAAAAAGCTTTTTAAGACAAAACTATGAAAAGCTTTTTTTAAGAAAAAGCTTAGAAAAGCTTTTTAAAGAAAAACCTTAAAAAAGCTTTTTAAGAAAAAGCATAGAAAAGCTTTTTTAAGAAAAAGCTTAAAAAAGTTTTTTTAAGAAGCTCTTTTAAGAAAAAGCTTAGAAAAGCTTTTTTAAGAAAAAGCTTAGAAAAGATTTTTTTAAGAAAATGCTTAGAAAAGCTTTTTTAAGAAAATGCTTAGAAAAGCTTTTTTAAGAAAAGGCTTAAAAAAGCTTTTTTAGGAAAAAGCTTAGAAAAGCTGTTTTCAGAAAAAACTTTTAAAAAAGCATAGAAAAGCTTTTTTAAGGAAAAGCTTAGAAAAGCTTTTTCAAGGAAAAGATTAAAAAAGCTTTTTTGAGAAAAAGCTTAGAAAAGCTTTTTTGAGAAAAAGCTTAGAAAAGCTTTTTTAAGAAAAAGCTTAGAAAAGCTTTTTAAGAAAAAGCTTAAAAAAGCTTTTTAAGAAAAAGCTTAGAAAAGCTTTTTAAGAAAAAGCTTAGAAAAGCTTTTTTATAAAAAAGCATTTTTAGTACAAACAAGCTTTTTTAGGAAAAACTTTTTAAAAAGCTTTTGTATGAAAAAGTTTCTAAAAGCTTTTTTTACCTTTTAAACCCACTGTTTTCCCTCCGTTTATCCCTTTTATCAAACTACTGCCAATTTAATTTACGTTTCACCTAATTTATTTCCCAGCAACAACAAAAAATCACTTTAAAACCAAACTTTTTCGCTTTTTAAATTCATAACACCATTTTTTTCGCACAACAAAAAAGCATTCGGACAAAAAAACTAATTTAATTGAAAACTTTTTTCCAATTCATTGAATTTATTTAATTAAATAAACTTAAATCAGCGATATCATGCATGCATATGCACGCAAAATTTAAGCACAAATAACAAACATATAAAAAATTTATTGAACTGTATGAATATTTAAAAAAGACACAAAATTTTTATTGTTTTAAATAAATATTGAAAATCTATCTAAATCGCTTTTTGTCATAAACAGATTAAAGCTTTTAAAAGAGAGTAATTAAATCAGTGGAATAAAATAAACAAAAGTTTATAGATTAAAGGATAAAAACAATTGATAATTGCATAGAAATCAAAAGGACTTTGAAACTAAAAATTTTAAAAATGTTGTGCAAGAAAAAAATATCAAAAAGCTTTTTTAAAAAATAAGCCTTAAAAAGCTTTTCTAAGAAAAAAGCTTAAAAAGCGTTTCCAAGAAAAAAGCTTAAAAAGCGTTTCCAAGAAAAAAGCTTAAAAAGCTTTTCTAAGAAAAAGCTTAAAAAGCTTTTCTAAGAAAATAGCCTTAAAAGCTTTTCTGAGAAAAAAGCCTTAAAAGCTTTTCTAAGAAAAAACTTAAAAAGCTTTATTAAGAAATAAAAAGCCTTTTTAAGAAAAAAAAAGTTTAAAAAATTATTCTTTCCACTTACCTTTTTCTTTTTGCTCTTTCTCTTCTTGCACCTTAATCTCGTCCACTTGCACCTGCTGCTGCTCATCCTTGAAATCCTCATCGTCGGTATGCTCGACAACAGCTTCCACCTTAATGGCACTCTTAACCGAATCAGCCGATGAAGAAGTCAAGAGATCTTTACTCTCAGACTCCGCACAGGATTTTGAGGCCACATTGGGCAAATTGATAGTTTCCAGTAAATCTCCAGAGGCAGTTTGTGCCAGCAGAGGCATATTTGAATGATGAGAAGATTGTTTCTCTACCGAGGGCAGACTTTCGCTGGCTAAAGTTATAACCGGAGTAGGTTGTTCGGCATTTGAAGTATTCACATGTGCACTAATCACTGTTGTGGGTAAAACTATATGATGTTCTACTCCCACGATAATACGTTCCATAGGTTTGGGTATTTCAATTATCGGAGTTGTTGTTGGTGTGCATGGTGGTGGTGGTAGTTTTGCAACTTCGACTTTTTGTTCTGAGATATAGGAAGTGGTCTCTAGAGAACCTCTACGTTTGGGTATGGGTTTAACAGGAGTTTCTGTTCTCTTTTGTGGTACTGGAGGTTTAGGTTTTGGTGTGGGCTTCGGTTTCATTTTGGGTGAAGCGGGTTGTTCTCTAATGGCCGTTGGAGTATCTGATTTCTTTGAAGATTTCTTTAGCTTGGGTGACAATTTAACAGATTTGATTTTGTCTGCCGAAACCTCCACTTTCGTGGTTTCAATTTTAGTTTCCTGGATCTTTGGAGTTTGTATTTCTTGGATCTTCGGGGTTTCTGGAGTCATGGGTTCTTTGAGAGTCTTTTGGACGTTTGGAGTCTCAGTCGTGGAAAGTTCGGTGTGAGTTTCCTGGATCTTTGTGGTTTTTTGAATCTTTGGAGACTCTGGTTTTAAAGGTTTTACCCGAGTTTCCTGGATCATTGACGACTCTTGTATTGGAAGTTCTAGTTTGGATTCCTTGATCTTGGAAGTCTCTTGTTTAGGAGGTTCTGTTTTGGTTTCCTTGATCTTGGAAGTCTCTTGTTTAAGAGGTTCTGTTTTGATTTCTTTGATCTTGGGAGTCTCTTCTTTAGGAGGTTCTATTTTGGTTTCCTTAATCTTGGGAGTCTCTAGTTTGGATGATTCTTCCTTGATTAGTTCCTCTTTCAGTTCTTCCTTTCCATTTTCAATTATCTCTTTTGTAATTTCTTTAATTGGAGCCGAAACTTCTTTAGTTTCTATAATATTTTTATGCAAGACATACAGGGGTTCATTGTCGTTGAAATCCTGAGAGGAAATGGCTGTTGTAATTAAGACAGGTTGTGTAGATTCCACAACCTCAAGAACTTCAGTAGCTAGCTTGGATTCCTTAACAATTTCCTTCTCAATTTCAGGCTGTTTAACTACGTTCTCAGCAACAACTTCAGCCTTAATCTGAGGCTCTTTAACAACCTCTTGAACATTGGCTGGTACATCTTCCTTTTCAATAACTTTGTCCTGATCAATCTTCTTGTCACTTTCTTCTTTAGTTTCTTCCACTTTCTCTTGCTCCTTTTCCAAATCGCTTAAATCGAAACCTCTTTCATCTACGGCCTCATATTGGAAGAGTTTCTCCGCCTCCTTTTTAACCTTTTGATAACTTTCTATAAGTTTCTGAGCTTCCATTTCTAATTTCTTTTCCTCCTCGGTTTTCTTAACCAATTTAGGACCCTTCTTTCCCGAATCCTTGCTACAATCTACACGTTTGTTCACCTGTTTTTCAGCATCTTTTAAGACGGAATCTATCAACTGTTGGGTCTCTTCATTAATCAATTTATGAGCCTCCATTTCCATTATATTCTTCATCAAATCATTCTTTTCAAATTCAGCTTCCTTGGCCAGTTCCTCTTTCGTCACCTCCGAACGTTTGGTTACCTGTTTTTCACCATCTGCTGTAACCATTAAGGTTTCATTGAGCTCTCGTATAAGCGAAGGTTTTTCGTTAGACTTCTCTTCCTTTTGGGGATTAAGCAATTGTTCACTATCCTCGAAAGTTTCCAATATTTGATGCTCACACTCCAAAAGATCGATGCCTCCTTGTTCGTTGGCTTGCAATTGTTTACCACACTCCGATAGATTCAAAATACCTCTGACAATACTTTGATTATCTTGTGGATTCAAGGCCTCTTCCGATAATCTTGTTTCCGCTTGGGCGGTAACAGTTATCGGTTGCTGCTGCTGTTGTTTGACCTTGTCATCGAGGCTATCCTGACTGTGCACCTTCTTGAGTTTGGCTTTCTCTTTATGGGTTTCACTGGATTTCTGTACTTTCTCCTCACCCGTTTTCGAGTCCAAGGTGCGTATTTCAGCATAGGCCTTTTGATCGGTTTCAAATTGTCTTTCCTCCATTACGGTGATCTTGGTATTTCCTATACGTTCCGTATAGGGTTGTAGCGAAAAGGATATGGGTTTTGGGGAGTCGGGAGTTTTGCATTCTACCAATACCTTTTTGAATTCTTCGGGTAAATCGTCTATGGTATCCAGTAAATTGTCGCAAGTTTTGGATTCTACTACGGTAGAGGAGGTGGTGGAAGATTTGATTACCTTCTTGGTGGTGGTAGTGGTGGAGGTTGAGGATTTGGTGGTAGTTTGTTTAGTTTCGGTTTTCACCTCCTGTTTAGTCTCGGATAAGGCGGTTTTGTTGTCACTCACCTCGGAAGTAGCAGTTTGGTAGGATTCTGCAGCCATTGAAGTTTCACTATGGGTTTGCTTTTCTACTTCAGCCTCCTCTTTCTCTATACTTTCACTTTCCTTTACTTCTTTACTCACATTTTCTACCTTTTGCTGCTCCAAACTCTCTTTCTCTTCCTTCTTTTCCATTTTCAACTCCTCCTTCTTTTTGCCATCTACTTCCTCTTTTTCTTCACTTTCTTTTTCTTTCACTTCTTCACTTTCTTTCAAATTTAACTGTTTTTCTTTTTCTTCCTTCACTTCACTCATTTTGGTTTTATTCTCCTTCAACTCTTTCTTTTTCAAACTTTGTAACTCGGTTACCGGCACAGTGGGCGGCAATACGGGAACGCCTATGAATATAGGTTTCTTAAGTTTAGTATTATTATTATTATTAATTGCACTCGTTGTCTCTTCTTTTTTCACTACTTTCTCTGCGTCTTTCGTTTGTTCGTTATCCGTTTTATTCACCGGTTTCTGTTGACTCAAGTCATCGACTATGACTATGGGTCTGTAATGGAAGAAAAAGACGTTACAATTAGTATTATCATGCAATTACAAAACATTGTTTTAAGATATTTTTACCCGTAACGGAAATTTGTTTGTTTTTAGTTTAATCGTTGGTTTGTTAACATTCAAAAACAAATATTAACCCTAACCTTGGGAAATAAAAATGTATACTAAAGGGGAAACAAATTTTGAATGTATTACCCGCTCTTAGTCAGTTAGTTCGGTACGAATTGCACCTGTGACTGCCGTATTATCGGCAAATGTATTTTTGTTACCGTTTCTATGTCTTATTCGCATTTTTTGTTTAGTTTATTTACTCAGTAAAGATAAAAACGGGGTACACACTACAGTAGGTATAATTAATTAAGGGAATGACAAGAAACTTGAGTGCACAGATACCTTATTGTCTCGACCTTAATATAGGCTTTAGTCGCGGCTAGCGTCTGGACTTTAGTCTAGACTATAGTGTAGTGTTTAGTCCGGTGTATAGTCTGGAATATATCCTGGTCAAATCTATACTTTAGTCTATAGTCTAGTCTATAGTCTAGTCTATAGTCTAGTCTATAGTCTAGTCTATAGTCTAGTCTATAGTCTAGTCTATAGTCTAGTCTATAGTCTAGTCTATAGTCTAGTCTATAGTCTAGTCTATAGTCTAGTCTATAGTCTAGTCTATAGTCTAGTCTATAGTCTAGTCTATAGTCTAGTCTATAGTCTAGTCTATAGTCTAGTCTATAGTCTAGTCTATAGTCTAGTCTATAGTCTAGTCTATAGTCTAGTCTATAGTCTAGTCTATAGTCTAGTCTATAGTCTAGTCTATAGTCTAGTCTATAGTCTAGTCTATAGTCTAGTCTATAGTCTAGTCTATAGTCTAGTCTATAGTCTAGTCTATAGTCTAGTCTATAGTCTAGTCTATAATCTAGTCTATAGTCTAGTCTATAGTCTAGTCTATAGTCTAGTCTATAGTCTAGTCTAGAGTCTAGTCTATAGTCTAGTCTATAGTCTAGTCTATAGTCTAGTCTATAGTCTAGTCTATAGTCTAGTCTATAGTCTAGTCTATAGTCTAGTCTATAGTCTAGTCTATAGTCTAGTCTATAGTCTAGTCTATAGTCTAGTCTATAGTCTAGTCTATAGTCTAGTCTATAGTCTAGTCTATAGTCTAGTCTATAGTCTAGTCTATAGTCTAGTCTATAGTCTAGTCTATAGTCTAGTCTATAGTCTAGTCTATAGTCTAGTCTATAGTCTAGTCTATAGTCTAGTCTATAGTCTAGTCTATAGTCTAGTCTATAGTCTAGTCTATAGTCTAGTCTATAGTCTAGTCTATAGTTAGTCTATAGTCTAGTCTATAGTCTAGTCTATAGTCTAGTCTATAGTCTAGTCTATAGTCTAGTCTATAGTCTAGTCTATAGTCTAGTCTATAGTCTAGTCTATAGTCTAGTCTATAGTCTAGTCTATAGTTAGTCTATAGTCTAGTCTATAGTCTAGTCTATAGTCTAGTCTATAGTCTAGTCTATCGTCTAGTTCTAGTCTATAGTCTAGTCTATAGTCTAGTCTATAGTCTAGTCTATAGTCTAGTCTATAGTCTAGTCTATAGTCTAGTCTATAGTCTAGTCTATAGTCTAGTCTATAGTCTAGTCTATAGTCTAGTCTATAGTCTAGTCTATAGTCTAGTCTATAGTCTAGTCTATAGTCTAGTCTATAGTCTAGTCTATAGTCTAGTCTATAGTCTAGTCTATAGTCTAGTCTATAGTCTAGTCTATAGTCTAGTCTATAGTCTAGTCTATAGTCTAGTCTATAGTCTAGTCTATAGTCTAGTCTATAGTCTAGTCTATAGTCTAGTCTATAGTCTAGTCTATAGTCTAGTCTATAGTCTAGTCTATAGTCTAGTCTATAGTCTAGTCTATAGTCTAGTCTATAGTCTAGTCTATAGTCTAGTCTATAGTCTAGTCTATAGTCTAGTCTATAGTCTATGGTCTATAGTTCAGTCTATAGTCTAGCTTTTAGTCTAGTCTATAGTCTAATCTACAGTCTAGTCTGTAGTCTAGTCTTTGTGTAGCTCCCTTTCGTAGTCACCTACTACCCACCCACCATTTTGCATTTCGCACTGAATCTTCCAAACGAATTAAAACCTTTTTCGCATTTGTTTTATTTTTATTTCTGTTCACATTCTCTTTCATTTTCCGTAACATTTTTTTCTTTTCAACCAACAGTTCGTCAGTCATTTCAGTCATATGTTTAGTTACTTACGCCCCCTCACCTCATGTCTTCCCAATTAAACACCTTATCTATTTCTGCTTGGTAAGTGTTATCTTTCCGAAATTAGAAACAGAGAGAAAAAAATAAAGCCAGAACGACGACAATTGTTATTGTTGTTAGTGTTGAAAATTTATTAACACCTTAATTATTTGACTTCATTTCACCTGTTGTGTTTGATATTATTTCAGTTGTTTTGTTTTGGATACAAAAAAAATACTTTGGGTCCCTTTTCTTGTGTGCAGGGGGAGGGAGGCGTGTGAGCTTTATAATGGTCTATGTGGGTTAACTGATTAGAAATTCTGAGATATGTATGAATGCTTTTAGAAATACATTTTTGCAATATTTATATTTAATTATTCGCCAAAGAAGAGAGTAAATAAATGAGTTATATATGAATGTGAAAATATGTTTGAGATAAGAATAAATATATAATTTTTCATTACTGGATCGTGTTATTAAGTCATAAATTTTGAAATTGTATCAAGTTTTATGTGTTTGAGTAAAGGGCCTATTAATAAAAGCAAAGTAGGGTTTTCCCAGACAAATGTTCTAACTATGAATTCAATCAATAGTCTAGTCTATAGTATAGATTATAGTCCTGTCTATAGTCTAGTCTATAGTCTAGTCTATAGTCTAGTCTATAGTCTAGTCTATAGTCTAGTCTATAGTCTAGTCTATAGTCTAGTCTATAGTCTAGTCTATAGTCTAGTCTATAGTCTAGTCTATAGTCTAGGTCTATTAGTCTAGTCTATAGTCTAGTCTATTAGTCATAGTCTAGTCTAGTAGTCTAGTCGATAGTCCTAGTCTAGAGAGTCTAAGTCCTATGTCCTAGTCTATAGTCTAGTCTATAGTCTAGTCTATAGTCTTAAGTCTATAGTCTAGTCTATAGTCTAGTCTATATGTCTAGTCTAATAGTCTAGTCTATAGTCTAGTCTATAGTCTAGTCTATAGTCTAGTCTATAGTCTAGTCTATAGTCTAGTCTATAGTCTAGTCTATAGTCTAGTCTATAGTCTAGTCTATAGTCTAGTCTAGTCTAGTTCTATAGTCTAGTCTATAGTCTAGTCTATAGTCCTAGTCTAGTCTAGTCTATAGTCTAGTCTGTAGTCTAGTCTATAGTCTAGTCTATAGTCTAGCTATCGTCTAGTCATATTTAGTCTATAGTCTTCTATAGTCTAGTCTATAGCTAGTCTACGTCTAGCTACAGTCTAGTCTATAGTCTAGTCTATAGTCTAGTCTATATTCCAGTCTATAGTCCCAGTCTATAGTCTAGTCTATATTCTATCTATAGTCTAATCTATTATCTAGTCTATAGTCTAGTCTATAGTCTAGTCTATAGTCTAGTCTATAGTCTAGTCTATACTCTAGTCTATTATCTAGTCTATAGTCTAGTCCATAGTCTAGTCCATAGTCTAGTCTATAGTCTAGTCTATAGTCTAGTTTATAGTCTAGTCTATAGTCTAGTCTATAGTCTAGTCTATAGTCTAGTCTATAGTCTAGTCTATAGTCTAGTCTATAGTCTAGTCTATAGTCTAGTCTATAGTCTAGTCTATAGTCTAGTCTATAGTCTAGTCTATAGTCTAGTCTATAGTCTAGTCTATAGTCTAGTCTATAGTCTAGTCTATAGTCTAGTCTATAGTCTAGTCTATAGTCTAGTCTATAGTCTAGTCTATAGTCTAGTCTATAGTCTAGTCTATAGTCTAGTCTATAGTCTAGTCTATAGTCTAGTCTATAGTCTAGTCTATAGTCTAGTCTATAGTCTAGTCTATAGTCTAGTCTATAGTCTAGTCTATAGTCTAGTCTATAGTCTAGTCTATAGTCTAGTCTATAGTCTAGTCTATAGTCTAGTCTATAGTCTAGTCTATAGTCTAGTCTATAGTCTAGTCTATAGTCTAGTCTATAGTCTAGTCTATAGTCTAGTCTATAGTCTAGTCTATAGTCTAGTCTATAGTCTAGTCTATAGTCTAGTCTATAGTCTAGTCTATAGTCTAGTCTATAGTCTAGTCTATAGTCTAGTCTATAGTCTAGTCTATAGTCTAGTCTATAGTCTAGTCTATAGTCTAGTCTATAGTCTAGTCTATAGTCTAGTCTATAGTCTAGTCTATAGTCTAGTCTATAGTCTAGTATATAGTCTAGTCTATAGTCTAGTATGTCTATATCTAGTCTATAGTCTAGTCTATAGTCTAGTCTATAGTCTAGTCTATAGTCTAGTCTATAGTCTAGTCTATAGTCTAGTCTATAGTCTAGTCTATAGTCTATAGTCTAGTCTATAGTCTAGTCTATAGTCTAGTCTAGTCTATAGTCTAGTCTATATTCTAGTCTATAGTCTAGTCTATATTCTAGTCTATAGTCTAGTCTATAGTTTATAGTTTAGTCTATAGTCTAGTCTACAGTCTAGTCTATAGTCTGGTCTTTAGTTAAGTCCGTGGTCAATATATCTTTAAGCTATATAAATCTCAGCTTACCCATTTGTTAATGATTGCGGTTCCAGGGAAGAACATTCCTCCTCCACTTCGCCTATGGTAGGCAGCATATTAGAATGCCAATAGAGATTGAAATAGGCCTCAGAAGGTCCCGGACCATTTATCAGTTCTGGAGGGCCCAATTTCTCACCATCTTCACATATGTAATCCTTTTCCTCATAACCATTAGTATCCACCATATCATCATCGTCATCACTACTGGAACTAGAGTAGTATAGTGGTGCGGAGGAGTCATCAATTTTCATGCATTTACCGACTACCAAAGGAGGGGGCGTGGTGCAGTCTAAGTCTTCATTATCATCATCATCCTTTCCTTCTTCTTTTTCCTTTGAATGTTCCCTAAATAAATTGCGTATGGTGGAGGAGGGTGAAGATTCTTTGGAATTGTCGGCTGTAGAAGAAGAGTCCTCCGTTTTGCGGGTACTGGGCGGTGTGCTGCGTCTTTGTTGTTCAAATAGACTGGGCAAATGTTCTTCCTGATCTTGGAATACATTTGGGGTGTCTTTATTAGTCTGTGTCTTACTTTCATAGGTTTGTATTTTGAAACGTATCTCTCGACTGGGTGAGGGGGGAGTTGAGGGTTTTTCTTGCGGTTTAGGTGAGGTCTGTTTAAAGGTCTGCATACTGGGCATTTGTGTGGTGGGAGGACTGGAGGGTGTTAGCGATCGGTCCACTACGGCTACAGTGGTAACATTATTAAGTGATAGTTTGGGTATATTGGTTTTGGACAAAGACTGTACCCTTTCTGGTGGCTTGGGTTTGGGTCCACGATTCTTGGAACCTGAGGCTGTGCTGCTTATACTCTCCGAAGAGGAGGTTAAGGTAGAGCCTGTACTCTGTTGTAGTATGGGTATGAGAGTGCGATCAGGACTTTTAAATTTTGCCTCTGCTGAGATGGTGCGTTGTAAAGGAATTTTGGAGTTACTAAGAGGACTAGATTCCTTAGATTGAGTATTTATTAGATAATTTAAATTTAAATCAGTTTCCGACTTTTGTTTAGTTAAGCGTCGTGGTATATTTGTGGGTGATTTAATGCTGTTGGGTTTACCCGTAGAGGTTTCCAATTCCAGCGAACGTTTGTTCGCCAAATGTATGGGTATGCGGGACTTGGTGGGTGAGGGAGTTTTATTTTGTTTGTTGCCTTGTTCCTTTTCCAAAAAGTCACTGGTTTGTAGTTTTAACTTTTCCAATTTGCTTTGAGGTTTTAGTTTTATCTCGCTTTCCGTTTTGGCCCGTTCTAATAGCTGCTGTTGACTTTGAGGTGTGAGAATGGCTTTAGGGATTTTGGTGGCATATTCCTTGGGACTTGTGGCCACACCATTAGGAGTTGTGGGAGAGTTTGTCTTAGCAGGCAATTCTTTGGGTGTGGGCAAGTCATTTGTGGGCGTGGTGGGTGTTGTAGGCGTCGCAACTTTTGGAGCTGGAGAACTTGGTAGTACCACATTATCTGGCACCTTAGGTGGAGCCACTTCTATGGCTTGTTTTCCCGTATTGCTTAATTTTCTAGGCATGGGTATTATGGATCTTTTCTTGGGTTCTATATGGGCTGTAACCTGTCTAGGTTTGGGTGTGGGCGTTAATTGCTTAACCTCCTCGTCCTTTTTGTCTTCAGCTATTGTTACATTTTCCTCTTTTGTTTCCTCTTTAGGCCTCAATTCCATGTTTTCATAAACATTAATCTTCTGGGTCTTGAACTCTATATTCTCATAATTATTACCCGGTATCAAAGTAATATTATTTAAATCCAAATCCAAAGAAGTATCCAAAACACTAGACAAAGCCTGTTCCGTATTCCCGGCCAAATTGAACTCCTGTTCCAACATGGTAAAAGGCTTTAAAACTTTAGCCAATTCTGGTTTATTTATCACACTACCCTGGCCATTTGTTAGGGAATTAAAGCCCGATAGATCCGATTCTGAGGAATAAGTGGAGGTAATAGAATAACGATCTATTACTGTGGATATAGTGCTGGCCGTATCATCAGATTCGGAACCAGCATTGTGCTGCCTTGAGTTAGAATGATTATTGTTATTATTGCCATTATTTTCAGCAAAAAGATTTATATAAAACTCTGCATCGGGCGGTGGAGTAAAGGATTTCTCTTGATTTTGATCCTCAATCGTTACCTCCGTATTTTGTGCCACACTTTCCTCTAATTCTTTATTAGCTACGTTCTTTTTCACCAGCTTTCTGGGAGGCACTGGTGGTGGTGGCGGTGGTGCTCCTTTCATTTTACCACTACCCCCGGTAAAGGTGGTCATATGTCCTCTCTGATCATAATCCTCCTCCAAATCCATGGGCTTAAGACCCCTACCATTGCGCACCTCCAGCTTAATGGCCACATTATCTTTCAAACCCTTAACACATTCTATTCTAGTCATATCTCTTACCCAACTATCATCGATCTTAACGATCTCATCTCCCTCCCTCAATTGACCCCAAGAGGTCATTACTTTAGCCGCAGGACTATCCTTGGCACAGGATTGTATAAACAGCTTCTGTACTTTTTCTGTGCTTCTAGTACCTCCTTGAAATTTGAGACCAAAACCTAAACGTTCTCCCGGTAAACGAAAAACCACCACGGTTTCTGTTTCCGCATTAGTGTCCAGACCTTTCCCCACATTCTGTGTGTGGTGTGGCAAGTTATTATTGTTATTTATCGATAACACAGTTATAAAAGAGGGATCTTCATCACTGGGTGTATGTGGTGGTGTTTTGCGCAACAATAGGTTGGGATCTTGGGAAGTTGGATCATCAACTTCTACTACGGTTATATAGTCTGCCATTGGTGGTGAAGTGTTGTATTTTCGAAATGACTACAGTTTGCTAACGAATTTTTTGTTGTAATTTGACTTTGTGTTGAACTTGTTATCGTTTATCGTTTGGTGAGTTTAGGCTTCATATGGTTTGTGACTTAACTAAAGTGATCCCAAAGTAATCGTGTTGAAGTTGTGAGATTAAAATTAATGTAGTTTAACTACTTGAAGCAAGAGGGCGCTACAATGAAAAAGAAGAAATAAACAATTATTAGCAAAATGCGGAACTTTAAATTTTCAAATAAATTTTAAAGTTTAATTTAAATTTTATTTATTAACATATTTTAATTTAATTTTTTAACAAAAAAATTCTGGATTTTTTCATAATTTTTTTTTTTTTCAAAAATACTGGTAATATTTTTTATTAAAATACTAGTATTTGTAAGAAAATGCTGGGATTTTAATTTTTTTTCGAAGTAGTTTTTTCTTTGGATGCTCTGATGTTTTTAAAAATATAACTGGAATGCTTTTTAAATTTGTTTAAATTTCTATATTTAGTGTTTTTAGGTTATCAATTTTTTTAATTTTATAGCTTGGGCAAAAATACAAGGAATTGTTTCTGTAATATTTTAAGAAGTTGTTGAATATTTATAATACGGTGAATAGTAATTGTCTTTTAAAATACACAGGTTGTTTTTTAAAAGAATATCAGGGTTTTTATTTTTTATTTTTTCTAAATATTTTTATTAAGAAATTTTATATATATTATTTTAAAAATATTAATTTTAGTTTAACTAGCTATTATAAAAAATACTGGGAAAATTTTAAATATTTTGTAATATTTTCAGTTTTTGGTATAAAAAATTTATGTTTTTTTATAATTTTATAAGCTTAAGAACATTTCAAGGAATTTTTCTGATATTTTTCAAGAATTTTTAAAAAATACTGGTAATATATTTTTCCATAATACAGGGTTTTCCGTGAGAAAATACAGGGATTTTATAACTTTTCCAAATTAAGTTTTTTATGTAGAATTTTTATATATAATTTTTAAAATAATGATTTTACTTTAAGTAGCTATTATAAAAAATACTGGGAAAATTTTATCTATTTTGTAATATTTTTTCAGTTTTTGGTAAAAAAAAATATATGTTTTTAATTTTATCAGCCTTGCAAAATTGCAACGAATTTTTCTAATATTTTTCGAAAATTTTTAAAAAATACTGGGAATTTATTTTATCATAATAAAGGGTTTTCTGTAAGAAAATATCGGGATTTTATAATTTTTCAAAATTAAGTTTTTTATGTAGAATTTTTATATAGTATTTTTAAAGTTTTAGTTTTAATTTAACTAGCTATTATAAAAAATACTGGGAAAATTTTATCTGTTTTGTAATATTTTACTAGGTTTTAGTATAATAAATATTTGCATTTATAATTTTATCAGCTCTAGAAAATTTCAAGGTATTTTCTGATATTTTTAGAAAATTTTCAAAAAATACTGGTAATAATTTTTTTAAAATACTGGTTTTTCTGTAAAAAATACTGGGATTTTGTAATTTTTAAAAATGCATATTTTTCACTAGATAATTTTAAAATATTTTTCAAAATATTTCTAATACAAGAAAAAATTTTTTTAATAAATACTGGGAGTTTTTAACAAATTTTGCTAATTTTTTTAGATTCTGGTAAAAGAAAATATTTTTTGATATTTTTATCAGCTTTGAACAATTTTAAGGAATTTTTCTAATATTCTTTTAACTTAAAAAAATACTGGTTAAATATTTTATTCAAATACTGGGTTTTCTGTAAGAAAATACTGGGATTTTGTAATTGTTTTAGAAGTATGTTTTATGTTGAATTTGTTGGAATTATTTTAAAAATACTGTTTTTGATTTAATTGGCTATTTTTAAAAATACTGGGAATTTTTTTCTTTTATTTTGTGGAAAAATAATTAAAATTTTACATTTTTTTAACATTAAATTTAATTAAATGGAAATTTTTAATAAAGCAAACAAATTTTCCCTTGATTTCTCTTTTCTTTTTTTGCGAAATTTAGCCTTAACTGCTGATTATCTCGTTATTTGTTTCTTTTTTTCTTAAAAAATTGCTAATAAATTTAAATTAAGCTGCATTTAAGCAAACGGCAATTAGACAGTTGATTTTTTTTTGCTTGCCACTTGCCACCTACTCTTACTCTTGTAACAAGACTTTTAAGCCGAAAAATTTGTTGCAAAAAAAACCGGTAAGAAAATGTTTTTTGCAGATTTAATATTTAACAGTTTTTTTTTTTGAGTAAAAGGAATTTCTTTTTTGTGGACTTTATAAAAAAATGTGTTGAAATTGAACAGGTAGCCTTCAGTTTTTGAGAGAGAAAAAAAGAAAGATTTAAACTTGTTGCAAGAAAGTTTTACTTGTAACGCTTGAAAAGTCTTGATGATAATGTTAAACATTTCAGGTTTGCAGATATTTTAGGTGAGGGAGAGATATTGAAATTTTTGTTTAAAATTTGAAAGGGTTTTGTTTTTTATTTTATTTCTGCCAACATGTTTAAACCTGCATAGTTTGTTATTTATTTGGAATTAATCTTTATTTTATCTATCTTAAACAAAAACCGGCTTTGAACTTTGATTTTCAATTGCTAAAATGTGGATTTTTTTGTCTGTTTGAAATCTTTGAAATATTTCTGTTAAATATTTGATTTCATGATTTTAGTTTTCTTGTTAAAGTGACTGGCTGACATAGTTTTAACATGTTAGCAAAATATGTTTAAGAAAAAGTCAGCAAGTTTAGAGGGTTTTTGTTTTTGTTTTCGTTAAAGCTGCAACATGATACAGTTGTTTGCCATGAATTTCTGTTAAGGAATTTTGCAAATAATGAAAAGCAATAACATTTGCGAACAAAAAGTGTTGGAAATGTAAAAATGTTAATTTATTTAAGAAATTTAGGAATGAAGACAATCTATGCTCTTGTTCTGTTTTAGTTCAGTTCTAGTTCTGTTCTATTTCTGTTCTAGTTCTGTTCTATTTCTGTTCTAGTTCTGTTCTATTTCTGTTCTAGTTCAGTTCTAGTTCTGTTCTAGTTCTGTTCTAGTTCTGTTCTAGTTCTGTTCTAGTTCTGTTCTAGTTCTGTTCTAGTTCTGTTCTAGTTCTGTTCTAGTTCTGTTCTAGTTCTGTTCTAGTTCTGTTCTAGTCTGTTCTAGTTCTGTTCTAGTTCTGTTCTAGTTCTGTTCTAGTTCTGTTCTAGTTCTGTTCTAGTTCTGTTCTAGTTCTGTTCTAGTTCTGTTCTAGTTCTGTTCTAGTTCTGTTCTAGTTCTGTTCTAGTTCTGTTCTAGTTCTGTTCTAGTTCTGTTCTAGTTCTAGTTCTGTTCTAGTTCTGTTCTAGTTCTAGTTCTGTTCTAGTTCTGTTCTAGTTCTGCTCTAGTTCTGTTCTGTTTTCTAGTTCTGTTCTAGTTCTGTTCTAGTTCTGTTCTAGTTCTGTTCTAGTTCTGTTCTAGTTCTGTTCTAGTTCTGTTCTAGTTCTGTTCTAGTTCTGTTCTAGTTTTCTGTTCTAGTTCTGTTTAGTTCTGTTCTAGTTCTGTTCTAGTTCTGTTCTAGTTCTGTTCTAGTTCTGTTCTAGTTCTGTTCTAGTTCAGTTCTAGTTCAGTTCTAGTTCTGTTCTAGTTCTGTTCTAGTTCTGCTTAGTTCGTTCTAGTTCTGTTCTAGTTCTGTTCTAGTTCTGTTCTAGTTCTGTTCTAGTTCTGTTCTAGTTCTGTTCTAGTTCTGTTCTAGTTCTGTTCTAGTTCTGTTCTAGTTCTGTTCTAGTTCTGTTTTAGTTCTGTTCTAGTTCTGTTCTAGTTCTGTTCTAGTTCTGTTCTAGTTCTGTTCTAGTTCTGTTCTAGTTCTGTTCTAGTTCTGTTCTAGTTCTGTTCTAGTTCTGTTCTAGTTCTAGTTCTAGTTTCTGTTCTAGTTCTGTTCTAGTTCTGTTCTAGTTCTGTTCTAGTTCTGTTCTAGTTCTGTTCTAGTTCTGTTCTAGTTCCTGTTCTAGTTCTGTTCTAGTTTCTGTTCTAGTTCTGTTCTAGTTCTGTTCTAGTTCTGTTCAGTCTGTCTAGTTCTGTTCTAGTTCTGTTCTAGTTCTGTTCTAGTTCTGTGTCTATTCTGTTCTAGTTCTGTTCTAGTTCTGTTCTAGTTCTGTTCTAGTTCTGTTCTAGTTCTGTTCTAGTTCTGTTCTAGTTCTGTTCTAGTTCTGTTCTAGTTCTGTTCTAGTTCTGTTCTAGTTCTGTTCTAGTTCTGTTCTAGTTCTGTTCTAGTTCTGTTCTAGTTCTGTTCTAGTTCTGTTCTAGTTCTAGTTCTGTTCTAGTTCTGTTCTAGTTCTGTTCTAGTTCTGTTCTAGTTCTGTTCTAGTTCTGTTCTAGTTCTAGTTCTAGTTCTGTTCTAGTTCTGTTCTAGTTCTGTTCTAGTTCTGTTCTAGTTCTGTTCTAGTTCTGTTTTAGTTCTGTTCTAGTTCTGTTCTAGTTCTGTTCTAGTTCTGTTCTAGTTCTGTTCTAGTTCTGTTCTAGTTCTGTTCTAGTCCTGTTCTAGTTCTGTTCTAGTTCTAGTTCTAGTTCTGTTCTAGTTCTGTTCTAGTTCTGCTCTAGTTCTGTTCTAGTTCTGTTCTAGTTCTGTTCTAGTTCTGTTCTAGTTCTGTTCTAGTTCTGTTCTAGTTCTGTTCTAGTTCTGTTCTAGTTCTGTTCTAGTTCTGTTCTAGTTCTGTTTTAGTTCTGTTCTAGTTCTGTTCTAGTTCTGTTCTAGTTCTGTTCTAGTTCTGTTCTAGTTCTGTTCTAGTTCTGTTCTAGTTCTGTTCTGTTCTAGTTCTGTTCTAGTTCTGTTCTAGTTCTGTTCTAGTTCTGTTCTAGTTCTGTTCTAGTTCTGTTCTAGTTCTAGTTCTAGTTCTAGTTCTGTTCTAGTTCTGTTCTAGTTCTGCTCTAGTTCTGTTCGACAAGAATTCAAACAACAACAATCTTTGTGTTTTTGTAAATTTTTGTCTTAAAAAATTCCTTCGAACAACCTTCCTTTGAGTAATTTAATCCTTATGTTCATTTCTTGTAAATACCTTAAGTCTTGTTTATATGTATTCTGTTTTCAAGGGTCATCATTTTCAACATTATGTTGCAATTTAGTTTATTTAGCCTTTTGTTGTCATTGCATTTAATGATGCTGACAAATCCCTCAAGGTCTCGTATAAATAAGACTGAAGACCAATGAATAAAAAACTGGCTTAAAAAAACTAAACATTCTTTTGTGTGTAAAACAAAAGACAACATAAAAACATTTAAAAGAAATAATTTCAACATTATTTTCAACAGGAAAGATTTTTTTATTAGCAGTTTTTTTTTTTAATTTTTCTCTTATTTAAAACTAATTGTTTTTATTTATTATTATTTTTTCTAATATATGTCTTTAAATTATCATAAAAATGTTTTATTAAAAACATACTCCATTTACTTTGCTGCTTATAATTAGAAAATCAACACACTCACTTTAAAGTCAAATCATTTACGTTATGAATAAATCTAGTAGATGAATACACAATGAATGAATAAATGCAGTACAACGGCAACAACTTGCAACCATTCATATTTATGTATAGCAACAAAAACAACAACAACGTGTAGCCATTCAAATATACATGAGTATTAGGGCAGCATCGATTTGGAAAAACAAAAAGTTCTGGTTCAGTTTTTAATTATTAATCATATTGTTTCAATTCCATTTTGTTCCTCTTGCTTAAATTAATGATTTTTAAGGATTTTTAAGGAATTAGGGCAGCAACGATTTAAAGAAGTAATAAGTTCTGGTTCAGTTTTTAATTATTAATCATTTTGTTTCAATTCCATTTTGTTCCTCTTGCTTAAATTAATGATTTTTAAGGAATTTCAGCACTGTTATGGTTTACAAGTAAATGCATTTTTACCATTACCCTAATATTATCACCCCATAGTGCCTAAAGCATAATATTACCCGTTTTTACATACTAGCAAACTCTCTACACACATTTATCAAACGACATTCACAAGTTTTCCTTTACATTTTATAAGAAATTGCAAAAAAACTTTATAATAAAATAAATATTTAAACTCATATAAAAGTAATTAAAACTATGCACAACAGCAACAACTATAAACAACAAAAATTATCATAAGAAACTTTATAACGACATTATAAAACAATAACAAAAAAAAAATGGCAAGAAAAGACTGTAACAGACTGAAACAATACAATTATTATTTCCCATAATTTTCGTTACAAGATTCAAAAGCAACACATTAAACCCGCAGTTAAGTAGACATAACCGCAAGTACGGCTGTGAAAATGTATAAGGGGTGACAACTAAAACTGAAACAGTGTGTATTTAATACATTCATTTATTCCCTGAAACATAAAACTGCGAAGTGAAAAGTTTTTTTCTTTCAACTTTTTTGTAATTGTCACTTTGGCGTGTTGAAGTTCATTTGTGATAAAAGAAAATTACAAAAAAAGTGATTTAATATTTTGCAATTAAATCATTTACTCTAAAACCATTAAAAAGGTTAACATAATAACTGGATTTTTAAAAGAAATTAAAAGCTCTGATGAAAATTAAAGGAAATGGGAAAAATGTCATTTTGAAAGAAACGAGAGTATTGTAACATAAATAACTATTTACTAAGTTATTCTAAAGGAAAAAAATAAATTAGAAGAATTTTTCAAATTGAAACATTTTATTAAAAAAACTTTTGACCTTTATTTAGAAGTGATAAAAAGCCACAATTATCATTAAATTTCTAATACCAAAATAAAAATGTATTTAAAACCACAAAAGGAACAGATGAAATTGAAACAAAATTTAAAAATTTATTCACAATTGTTATAAAAAATCGTATCTCCTAAAGAAAAAATCAACTGCACACAAAATGAAATAAATAGAACAGAACAAAAACAGAACTAGAACAAAACTAAAACAGAACTAGAACAGAACTAGAACAGAACTAGAACAGAACTAGAACAGAACTAGAACAGAACTAGAACAGAACTAGAACAGAACTAGAACAAACTAGAACAGAACTAGAACAGAACTAGAACAGAACTAGAACAGACAAACTAGAACAGAACTAGAACAGAACTAGAACAGAACTAGACATAGAACAACGAACAGAACTAGAACAGAACTAGAACAGAACTAGAACAGAACTAGAACAGAACTAGAACAGAACTAGAACAGAACTAGAACAGAACTAGAACAGAACTAGAACAGAACTAGAACAGAACTAGAACAGAACTAGAACAGACTAGAACAGACTAGAACAGAACTAGAACAGAACTAGAACAGAACTAGAACAGAACTAGAACAGAACTAGACAGAACTAGAACAGAACTAGAACAGAACTAGAACAGAACTAGAACAGAAGAACTAGAACAGAACTAGAACAGAACTAGAACAGAACTAGAACAGAACTAGAACAGAACTAGAACAGAACTAGAACAGAACTAGAACAGAACTAGAACAGAACTAGAACAGAAACTAGAACTCGAACAGAACTAGAACAGAACTAGAACAGAACTAGAACAGAACTAGAACAGAACTAGAACAGAACTAGAACAGAACTAGAACAGAACTAGAACAGAACTAGAACGAACTAGAACAGAACTAGACGAACTAGAAAAGAACTAGAACAGAACTAGAACAGAAACTAGAACAGAACTAGAACAGAAACTAGAACAGAACTAGAACAGAACTAGAACTAGAACTAGAACAGAACTAGAACAGAACAACAGAACTAGAACAGAACTAGAACAGAACTAGAACAGAACTAGAACTAGAACAGAACTAGAACAGAACTAGAACAGAACTAGAACAGAACTAGAACAGAACTAGAACGAACTAGAACAGAACTAGAACAGAACTAGAACAGAACTAGAACAGAACTAGAACAGAACTAGAACAGAACTAGAACAGAACTAGAACAGAACTAGAACAGAACTAGAACAGAAACTAGAACAGAACTAGAACAGAACTAGAACAGAACTAGAACAGAACTAGAACAGAACTAGAACAGAACTAGAACAGAACTAGAACAGAACTAGAACAGAACTAGAACAGAACTAGAACAAAACTAGAACAAACTAGAACAGAACTAGAACAGAACTAGAACTGAACTAGAACAGAACTAGAACAGAACTAGAACAGAACTAGAACAGAACTAGAACAGAACTAGAACAGAACTAGAACAGAACTAGAACAGAACTAGAACAACTAGAACAGAACTAGAACAGAACTAGAACAGAACTAGAACGAACTAGAACAGAACTAGAACAGAACTAGAACGAACTAGAACAGAACTAGAACAGAACTAGAACAGAACTAGAACAGACTAGAACAGAACTAGAACAGAACTAGAACAGAACTAGAACAGAACTAGAACAGAACTAGAAAAAACTAGAAAAGAACTAGAAAAGAACTAGAAAAGAACTAGAAAGAATTAGAACAGAACTAGAACAGAACTAGAACAGAACTAGAACAGAACTAGAACAGAACTAGAACAGAACTAGAACAGAACTAGAACAGAACTAGAACAGAACTAGAACAGAACTAGAACAGAACTAGAACAGAACTAGAACAGAACAGAACTAGAACAGACCTAGAACAGAACTAGAACAGAACTAGAACTGAACTAGAACTAGAACTGAGCTAGAACTGAACTAGAACTGAACTACAACTGACCAAGAACTGAATTTACTCTCATTATTTCTCCTGCTGAGAGTTTAACAATGTAAACAGGAAAGACTTAAGAAGAAGTAACAAACCTGCTGATACGCAAAAGGAATGTAAACATAAAAGACTTGAGCAACAAACTTGTAATTATAAGCTGGATTAGGGACCACGCATTTGAAAGACTTAAGCAGCAAACTTGTGTAAAAGGAAAAAGTGAAATCAAAGACTTCAGCAGCAAACTTAAAAAAATGGCGGCATTTGTTAAGGCTTCCCTAGTAAGGGAGAAACAAAAGACTTAGCAAAGAAACTTTAAGCAAGCTTTTGCTAAGGAAATGTCTGGTTTTTGTAGGAAAAGAACATTTTAAATAAAACGCTTTAAATAATACAATTTCAAGATTTTTTATTAAAATTTCTTTAATTTATTAGGCACAAATAATAAATAATTTTAAATTACAAATTAAATTATTGGGATCTTTGTGAACTTAACGCACACAATAGCAGGCATCCCGGGTATTGGCAGCAATCCAGTCCAGATATTTACTAACCCTAGTATAAACCCCGGGAGCATTAGGATTGGCACAGCCATAGCCAAAGGAGACAACACCCGCTAAACGGAAAATACCATCGCGAACAATCAAAGGACCGCCACTGTCACCCTGAAGAAGGAAAACAACACAGTAGTAAAATCAAATTTTATTTCAGCTTTAAAAAACTTACCTGACAAGCATCTTTACCACCCTCCAGATAACCGGCACACAACATGGTCTCCAAAATCATGGATTTATAAGAAGTGGCTCTACACTGGGCATTGGTGAGAACGGGCACCACTACCTCTTGCAAATAAGTGGACTGATCACCACCATCTGAGGTCAAACCCCAGCCTGCAACGATGGCCTTTTTAAAATCGAAATTTTGATTGGCATGTATGGGTAAACAGACAGGTCTGATGGGATCTAGCAGAGGTACCGGCTGGTCGAGTCTTAACAAAGCTATATCGTTTTGTAGGGTGGTAGGATTATAGAGTCCATGCATATTGGCAAAGGCTACCTTGCGAACAATGCCTTGGGAAGCGGAATTTTTATTCAATTGCAACAGTTTGATGGTAATACCCTTCATATCCATGCCATATACACAATGGGCTGCGGTGAGAGCATAACGGTCATTAATGAGAGTGGCGCCACAGAATTGGAAAGATCCCCTTAGCATTTGAGCAATCCAGGGATATTTATTGGTGCGTACACGTGTTCCACCCACAATACGATTAACATTGGGCACACCACAGGCTGCAGGGAGGAGTTACAATCAATTTCAAGTTTTTCGTTGGATTTCTAGGGAATTTACTTACTGCAGGTGGCACATTTATTGCCCAAGAAGTATTTACTTTCTCCTGCTGCTGGCGCAGCAGCTGTATCCAATGTTTCACTTAAGATGGAGGATAAAATTTGCTGTTTATGCTCGGTAATCAAATCATCTATGAAATCTCCTTGCACTCCGGGAGGCAGACCATTATCCGTTTGATTTTGTGGCTCTAGGGCATTTTTCAAGGGTCTAGGATAAACATAACCTTGAAACTAGGACAACAAATGCCATAGTAAGTAAAAAACAAACTTTTTAATAATTTGTATATATTTTTTTTGTAATTTTTGCACTTTTTTTTAATTTCTTTCCATTACCTTGGTTTGAGCACTTAAAATCACTGATATTTGTATAAAAATACTTAAAATTAATAAAAATTTCATTTTAAAAACACTTTCACCATTTGCTACAAAAAAATCTTAAAATTTATTCTTTTAGAATGATGTTAACCGTTTCAATACTTTCCTTGAACTGTCAAAGAAAGTTTTTGGTTAACGGTTTTTTATATCGGCCAATTTAAAAAAAAAAAAAAACTTTAAAGAGATTATAAATAAATTATAACAAAAAAAATTTAAAAAAATCACTTTGTAACTTGATATTCTCAATAAAAATTGAGCACAAATCAATAATTTATATAAAATCCGCCAAAGGCCAAAATGAGTTTGCTACAATTTCAAGAACCTTTTCTCTAAACTAGACGCAACAAGTTTAGATAATGAAATCACAAGTATTACTTTGCATAATTTATTAAAACTATGAAAGGTTTATTGAAATTTTATGCAAACCTAAGGAATTGTCTTGAGAAATGACCTAAATTAATTAAAATATCATTCAAAGCTTAAAAAGCTGTTACGCTTACATAAATTTGTATAAATAATTTTTCTTTATTTTATTTAAATTTTTTTTGCATTTTTCTAAATCATAATTTATTAATGATTTAACACTTTTGCAAACATTTCTAATTTGTTTCCTTTGTTATAAATAAAATTTATGGGTTTAATTCTCCCACATTTAGCGGTATTCCCCCGCATAAATAAGTCACTAACTAGAAAATAAACAAAAGACTTAGGAAACATGCATAACTGTAGCAAAAATTTACGGTTATTGGTCTTATTTGGTCATAATACTAGAACAAAACTAGAACAGAACTAGAACTGAACTAGAACTGAACTAGAACTGAACTAGAACTGAACTAGAACTGAACTAGAACTGAACTAGAACTGAACTAGAACTGAACTAGAACTGAACTAGAACTGAACTAGAACTGAACTAGAACTGAACTAGAACTGAACTAGAACTGAACTAGAACTGAACTAGAACTGAACTAGAACTGAACTAGAACTGAACTAGAACTGAACTAGAACTGAACTAGAACTGAACTAGAACTGAACTAGAACTGAACTAGAACTGAACTAGAACTGAACTAGAACTGAACTAGACTGAACTAGAACTGAACTAGAACTGAACTAGAACTGAACTAGAACTGAACTAGAACTGAACTAGAACTGAACTAGAACTGAACTAGAACTGAACTAGAACTGAACTAGAACTGAACTAGAACTGACTAGAACTGAACTAGAACTGAACTAGAACTGAACTAGAACTGAACTAGAACTGAACTAGGAACTGAACTAGAACTGAACTAGAACTGAACTAGAACTGAACTAGAACTGAACTAGAACTGAACTAGAACTGAACTAGAACTGAACTAGAACTGAACTAGAACTGAACTAGAACTGAACTAGAACTGAACTAGAACTGAACTAGAACTAAACTAGAACTGAACTAGAACTGAACTAGAACTAAACTAGAACTAAACTGAACTAGAACTAAACTAGAATGAAACTAGAACTGAACTAGAACTGAACTAGAACTGAACTAGAACTGAACTAGAACGAACTAGAACTGAACTAGAACTGAACTAGAACTGAACTAGAACTGAACTAGAACTGAACTAGAACTGAACTAGAACTGAAACTAGAACTAGAACGCTGAATAGAACTGAACTAGAACTGAACTAGAACTGAACTAGAACTGAACTAGAACTGAACTAGAACTGAACTAGAACTGAAACTAGACTGAACTAGAAACTGAACTAGAACTGAATAGAAACTGAACTAAAACAGAACTAGAACTGAACTAGAACAGAACTAGAAACAGAAACTAGAACTGAACTAGAACAGACTAGAACAGAACTAGAACTAGAAACAGAAACTGAACAGAACTAGAACAGAACTAGAACAGAACTAGAACAGAACTAGAACAGAACTAGAACAGAACTAGAACAGAACTAGAACAGAACTAGAACAGAACTAGAACAGAACTAGAACAGTAAAACAGAACTAGAACAGAACAGAACTAGAACAGAACTAGAACAGAACTAGAACAGAACTAGAACAAAACTAGAACAGAACTAGAACAGAACTAGAACAGAACTAGAACAGAACCAGAACAGAACTAGAACAGAACTAGAACAGAACTAGAACAGAACTAGAACAGAACTAAACAAACAGAACTAGAACAGAACTAGAACAGAACTAGAACAGAACTAGAACAGAACTAGAACAGAACTAGAACAGAACTAGAACTGAACTAGAACTGAACTAGAACAGAACTAGAACAGAACTAGAACAGAACTAGAACAGAACTAGAACAGAACTAGAACAGAACTAGAACAGAACTAGAACAGAACTAGAACAGAACTAGAACAGAACTAGAACAACTAGAACAGAAACTAGAACAGAACTAGAACAGAACTAGAACAGAACTAGAACAGAACTAGAACAGAACTAGAACAGAACTAGAACAGAACTAGAACAGAACTAGAACAGAACTAGCACAGAACTAGAACAGAATAGAACAGAACTAGAACAGAACTAGAACAAGAACTAGAACAGAACTAGAACAAACCTAGAACAGAACTAGAACAGAACTAGAACAGAACTAGAACAGAACTAGAAAGAACTAGAACAGAACTAGAACAGAACTAGAACAGAACTAGAACAGAACTAGAACAGAACTAGAACAGAACTGAACAGAACTTAGAACAGAACTAGAACAGAACTAGACAGAACTAGAACAGAACTAGAAAGACAGAACTAGAACAGAACTAGAACAGAACTAGAACAGAACTAGAACAGAACTAGAACAGAACTAGAACAGAACTAGAACAGAACTCGAACAGAACTAGAACAGAACTAGAACAGAACTAGAACAGAACTAGAACAGAACTAGAACAGAACTAGAACAGAACTAGAACAGAACTAGAACAGAACTAGAACAGAACTAGAACAGAACTAGAACAGAACTAGAACAGAACTAGAACAGAACTAGAACAGACTAGAAGAACTAGAACAGAAACTAGACAGAACTAGAACAGAACTAGAACAGAACTAGAACAGAACTAGAACAGAACTAGAACAGAACTAGAACAGAACTAGAACAGAAACTAGAACAGAACTAGAACAGAACTAGAACAGAACTAGAACAGAACTAGAACCAGAAACTAGAACAGAACTAGAACAGAACTAGAACAGAACTAGAACAGAACTAGAACAGAACTAGAACAGAACTAGAACAGAACTAGAACAGAACTAGAACAGAACTAGAACAGAACTAGAACAGAACTAGAACAGAACTAGAACAGAACTAGAACAGAACTAGAACAGAACTAGAACAGAACTAGAACAGAACTAGAACAGAACTAGAACAGAACTAGAACAGAACTAGAACAGAACTAGAACAGAACTAGAACAGAACTAGAACAGAACTAGAACAGAACTAGAACAGAACTAGAACAGAACTAGAACAGAACTAGAACAGAACTAGAACAGAACTAGAACAGAACTAGAACAGAACTAGAACAGAACTAGAACAGAACTAGAACAGAATTAGAACAGAACTAGAACAGAACTAAGAAGTATTTCGCGTTATGCATTTTATAAAAATATAATTCGTAATTTTAGGAATTTTAAAAATTTTCCCATGTTTGTTTACACTAAAAACTAATTATATTTTGTTATTGTTTTTATAAAGTTTTTGTTGCTTAAAAAGCTTAAAACTTTTGCATTGATTTAAATTTCCCACCATAATTTATACATTTTTTTAAATTTGGCTTTTTGCCCAACAAAAAGCATATTCATTCATAAAAGTGTTTGTTTGCCTTATTTTAGCAATGAAATTTTATACTATCACTTTTAAATTTGTATTTTAATTTATTTAAGGTAACACTTGATTTTTGTTATTTCGTTAACACTTACTCGGGTTTCATATTAAATAAAAACAAGTCGGATTTTATATTGTAAAATAAATTTTTCTTTAAAAGATTATTTAATATGCCTTACGGCATTTTATTAACTTTATTATATTACAACGTTTTGGGTTTTCTTTTTTTTTCATTTAATTCATATAATACTTTATTTGTTGTTATTGCTATCGTAACGGCCACTAGTCTTGGTCCATTTATAGCATAAAGTTTTTTTTTGCGTTCAAATAAAGTAGCTCAAGTTTCAGTTTATAGTAAGAACGTGTATAAATTTTTCAGTTATGTGCAATTTGACCATTACTTTGGTTTGCGTAGTTTTTATTTTTTGTTTCTATTTGGCAATATTAATGAAAGCTATTTTTTTTTTTTTTTTTTGCTTTAAATCTGTATATTGGGTGCGTGTTTTTCATATTAAAACAAAGTATTTTCTGTCTTTAAACAAAAGTGAAGGAGGTGTGTATTTGATTACTATAAACCAATGACTTAAATGTTTGTTAGTTTTTGGTTTTTTGCAGAGACAGGTTTAAAATTAATATAAAAAAATGGCAAGTGTTAATTAAATTGAGATTATTAAAGAAAAAATAACTGACCAGGGTTAATGAACAATTCGATTAGATAATGATTTTGCGAAGACATATAAATTAAAAATATTTTAATTTTCTTTGACTTTGTATCGTGTTTTTTAATTTTATAAACTGTTTATAAATGGTTTGTTGAAGGCATTTATTTCCTTAATCCCGTTTAAATCAGAGTAAGAGAAATTTTTATTGAGAAAATACTTTTCGTAGCCATAAGGTTTGTTTCTTAAGTCTTTTGTTTAAATTTTTTATAATAATGCCGCCATTTTTAAAAGTTTGTTGTTTAAGTCTTTTGATTTATTTTCCCACTTTTATTTTTAATGCAAGTTAGTTGTGTTCTGTCTTAGTTCTGTTCTAGTTCAGTTCTAGTTCTGTTCTAGTTCTGTTCTAGTTCTGTTCTAGTTCTGTTCTAGTTCTGTTCTAGTTCTGTTCTAGTTCTGTTCTAGTTCTGTTCTAGTTCTGTTAGTTCTGTTCTAGTTCTGTTCTAGTTCTGTTCTAGTTCTGTTCTAGTTCTGTTCTAGTTCTGTTCTAGTTCTGTTCTAGTTCTGTTCTAGTTCTGTTCTAGTTCTGTTCTAGTTCTGTTCTAGTTCTGTTCTAGTTCTGTTCTAGTTCTGTTCTAGTTCTGTTCTAGTTCTGTTCTAGTTCTGTTCTAGTTCTGTTCTAGTTCTGTTCTGTTCTAGTTCTGTTCTAGTTCTGTTCTAGTTCTGTTCTAGTTCTGTTATAGTCCTGTTCTAGTTCAGTTCTAGTTCAGTCCTGTTCTAGTTCAGTTCT